GCCAGCAAGAAAGGAGGCAAACAGAGGGATCAAACATATTATTAAAAAGAGGTTTAGGTCTGCTGAAAAACTTCCTATGGGAGAAACAGGATCCCATTTTAAATCTCTTATCAGATCTCAGCAAGAAAAAACAGTCAATGTTTCTAGCTTTTGAAACTAGAAACTTTTTCTTTCCTTTTTCTCTTTTCTTTTAAAACAAAGGTATCTACCAAGTGACTCCAAACCGAAACCAATTCAGTCTTTTATGACTTAACCAAGGATGCATAAGACATCTTCGAAGAAATGCAAAGATGGAACCCTCTCAGAAATCAGAGCCACTCCTAAAGATAGCCGAAAGAAGGATTTAGACACTTTGAGAGCTAGCAACAGTTGATATGTAAGCTTGTCATGGGAGCCCCCAACATTTTTATTTATTTTTTTGGCCACCTGCACATCCAAAGTGTGTTGCACAGGCAGCAAGCCAAGCCAGGTTCTCAGGACACAATATGAGACAAACAGGGACACAACAGCTGTCTATGGAAGGGAAAGGATTAATAACAAATGTATACTTTAAATCAAAGTTACCGCAAGAAGCACAATCCAGGCAAATAGTTTTCTCTTGCTATCCTGAATTTGGAAAGAAGAAAACAAGAAATTTTTACCTTCCACCATTGACTAGGCACTACAGGCAGAAATCCAGGAAAATAGACCTTGATACAAATTCTTACTTTCCTTTGCCAACTTTTGGCCAGTTGTCCCAGGACCTCATCAGTGGGTGAGTCAGGTGCTTCAGCCATCCCATCTTCATCACCAGGACTATAGGAGCAGAAATGGTGTAATCTCTTTCCTTCCAATTATAAGGATCATACCTGACTTCCCTTTAGCAAAAGAAAGACAGCAAAGCATATTTATTTAATCATGGTTTTATGTGACATGGAGCCTTCAGAATGAAGACCCACAGTTACATTAAAAAAAGATTCATTTTAATGTTTAAGTTCAATGAGGAATGGGCAGCTATGTAAAAATGTGATTATGCAAAAAGGGCATGATCTAATGCTAATAGACCGAGTAAGGAAACCCAACATGGACTTTCTGGTCAGAGTCTTCTTGACCTTTCTGTGCAGCCTTTCTTCCCCCCAGGCATGGGGCAGAGCTCTTTTTGGAATGGGGGTCCTATAACCTACAATTGAACAAGATAGTTCAAAGAATTTCTTTAGGGCCAGTTCTTACACCGAAACATAAGAGTAATATTTTTAGGTTTCGTGGCTTACTTTGGAGAACAGGAGGCTTGGGAAAGGGGATTTCTAGTTTTTATGGCTAGCCTCTAGAGATTGAAGAGTGAGAAACAGAAGGGGGAAAAAATCAAGAGAGAAAATTTGCTTCTGAGGCTGCTTCTGAGACCATCACTTTTGAGTATTGTTTTTTTTTCTGAGCCCCAACAAACGTGAAGACTGGGATTCAGAAAACGGGAAGAGAAAGAGAATTGTACTAGGTATGGGAATCAGCCAGTATATGTTATGCATATTTTACTTTGATTTAGGGAAATAACTTATCTTCCATATATTTCATAAGCTACCATTTCCTGACAAATGTAAAAATTAATATTTCAATGTGAAGGGTGACTATTTTGCAGTTTTCTCCAGAATACTTCCAAGAATTCTGTTTTTTAGAGAGTCATGTTTTGAAGGTAGTAGTTACTGAATTTGAGGAGAGTGTTCGTGATTTTGATATATATGTATAAAATAAGAAGATAACCACATATCTATAAAATAAGAAAATGATAGCTGTATATGTTTATATATATGTCAATTTCTAGATATTTATGTATCTAGATATTTCTAGGTATTTATATATATGATGTTGACTGTGTAGTTTAAGGAAAAGATTCAAGAGACCCCTATGCTCTTCATCCCTGCTACCTCAGCAATTCACACACACTTCCTGGGAAATACTTCCGTGAAAACATGGTGCCAATTATAGGAATGCCTCTCAAATTCTACCAAAATTGATACATTTGAATAAACAGACCTCACTAGCTCTCAGAGAATAATAATAATAATATTCTCTTATATTCCTTAGCGTCTGTGGGACTTTTCCCTTTCGCTAACTAGGCGCAGTTTTTATTGCTGAGTTGAGCTGTCAAGACTACTATCTAAAATGACAGTGAGAAAATGTTTTGATTTGTTAAAGTTTGAACTCTGATATTAGGAATGAATCTGTGAAACTAAGATTGCACTGTCAAGAGTTTAATGCACTAATAAACATGATATTTTTGTGAATAGTATTAAGTTTCAATCCAAAGTGGCAGCTCTGTGTGTCCCCAGGAGTCCTAATGTATGTGGAAGGGCTGATCCTAGGGAGCATAGACTGGTCTGCAAAGTAGGTTATAGACAGGGAATACGTGTCTCTCTGTCCCTATAACTGGAAATCGCAAGGAGACCATCCCCTGACTGCAGCCAGAAACTCATTCTCTTTGTAATAGACCAAGGGTAAGGAAACATGCTTATGTCAGTATGAGTATCTCTTCTGGCTAAGAAGTAGCCTCTTTGCAGCATGTGGAGAAATCTTCTGAACTGGAAGGATTTCTTCATAGATGAGAAACCTGCTCTCCAGTCTTGGTTGCTGCCCTGTCATACTTGGCTCCAGGGGACTCTCTTCCCCTGAGAGGTTTGCAGGAGCCTACACATGAACTGAATTCTACGTTCTCTTTCCTTTTTGCTAAGCTACTGTTATGTCATATTCTATGGGGATTCTAGAAAACCCCTCTTGCAGGTGTTTCCGTAAACCTAGAAATTTTCTCATTTCTGCTTTCTCCTTGTGGCTTTCTGCTCTTTAGGGAAGCTATCTGAAGCCAGAACCACAATGCAACAGAAAGCTTCTCTGTGTGAATGGGCAGGAAAGTCAAGGGAATGAATGACCAGGGTCCCATGGGGAATCCACCTTGGAAAGGAAGGAAACCCTAGTGATATGGAAGTGTCTCCTGGAATGCTGAGAGCCAGGGAGGGAATGTGCCAGGTGCCTGAATCACTAAATAAACATCACATGTCTTCTGCACTTCGATCTATATGTTTATTCTCCTGTCTCAGGTATTTATACAAGCAAGCATTCCCTGACCACATATAAATAGGTCATTTCTTTGAAATGAGGAGTGATCATTTTTCAAACTCTCTATAGATGATGACAGAATCTAGTTTTTTAAGGCTGCCTCCATTGGCGGTCACTTACTGAAAAGTAGGACACAGATCCTAAGAATTTTATAGAAAGATAAATAATGTCCTCATCTATAGCTGTCTGAAGAAAAACTGGGAAATATCTATTATATTTTAACTTCTTACTTGATGAAAGATACTGTGGTAGGTGCTTTAAAATTCATGTTTTTTTAAATCTTCACAACTATATAAATATTTTGAACCCAACTTTTATGAGAAGAGTGAAGCTCAGAGAGATTAAATGGGTTGACCAAAATCACACATACATCCAAGAAAAATGAAATTTCAATATCAAAGTCTTTAATGTAAATTATGGGTGACTTTGTCAGTTTTGTATTCTGGATTTCTATTACAATTGGTAAGTCTCCTTGTACTCCTGAATTATACACAACTCTTCTGTACTTTCTGGTTCAGGTTGTATTTTTAGCTGGTTTGACTAATTTTTTTTCCCTTAAGTATTAGGGAAGAGATTCTCTGATCCGGTTTTCCAATTTAATTTGTGAAGAAAGTTTGTCAGTTTATATGCTTATGGTAATTTAGTTGTTTTTGGATTCATGTAAGATTGTAATATTCATAAAATCAGCAAAAATTACCAAGGAGTAGTATAAAAGAGTTCTTATCATATCTGGCTCTACCAGAGAATTAGGGTCAAATTGTAGTAAACCAACATGACAATGGCACAAGCTAAATAACTTAATAAAGCCAGTAATTGCAGTAACCATTATATTGTCAATATTAATTGAATATTTTAATGAAAGATTGAAGTAGTTACCTGTTCCTGCCAAAGTAATTAACAAAAGTACGCATCTTACTGATATTCACAGTAGTATTAATTAAAACTGATAAAATACTGTTATAATCAAATATTCTATAATTTAAAATAAATATATGAAATATATTAATGTCATTTTCCAGTACCTCAATTTTGTGAAATCTATTCAGAAAAAATATACATTGTAAAAAAGGAAAAACTGTGCACAGAAGAAATAACCCATATTCTTTTCTAATCCCATTCTATTTCTTTCTCCACTTCAGGTAACTAACTTACCTTATTTACACTTCCACTTCTGTCATCTGTGTATTAATTTTACCCAACCAATCCTCACTAAGGGTGCCAATGCCATCTATTTCCCAATTAGTCGGTAGTTTCAAGACACACGTTGGGCAAATCCACTAAATCCTCTTCTCAGCATGTTTATTTCCTTTTGTTTGTTTATTTTGAGATGTGGTCCCTCCTCCTCTGTCTTCCAGGCTGGAGTGCAGTGTTGCGATCATGGCTTACTGCAGCCTTGAACTCCTAGGCTCATTCTAAATACACTTTCATTGTCTTTTCCTCTTGTTGTCTTCTAGTGTGCAGCCATTCCACCTGTTTTCCTTTGTGGCTCTTCTCTCCCCTCTCTTTAAAAGTGAAAGGTCCTGGTAATTATGTTTAAACCCTTTTCTCTCTCTACATTCTCTCCAGACACCATGACCTTCAATTATTGGCTTCCCCTTATTACATGTGAAACCCCAGCAATCACATTCCTTATAAATTACAAACTTACGTAAATAACTGGCAATGGACATTTTCTGCTAGATGTATACTAGTCAACTTAATGAGGATATCTCTGTTATTTTTATTCCCTCACATACCTCAATCTACCTTCTGCAGAGTAGAAGTTGCCTTCATCTCTTCATACCATTTTCCCTAACTGATATTAAGTATGATTACTGTTTTTAGTTTTTTATACAAAAATAAAATACACAAGAGAGCAGAATTGTATTTGTTAGGTTCACCTTGTTATATTGAGTACAACATACAACCCAGTTTACAGAAAGTTTATTTTTACTTTTATTTGAATATAATATTGATAAATAAATGAAGTATACCATTTATTCTTTAATCAGGTTGCACAGTCAGGCTTGGAATTTCATTTTAAAGAATAAACAAGTACGAAAAGTTTCCATAGTAAAAGTTCAATTAAAAAAACAAAATAAATTTACTAAATACAAAGAACATATATTATTACATTAACCACAGTGCAAAGGTGCACATGATGTAATATGAACAAAAGTAAGTCTTATAAATAGTTAAATAAACAATTTTTAAATAATATTTAAATAGATAGTCAGCATAGTCATCTGTAAGGGACTAGTGCATTAAGAGCTGAATACAGTGTTGCTTAAAACTCCTAAAAACATTTGAAAAGATTTACATCGTGTCATGGTCAAAGGAGAAACATGAGTCCTTGAAATGGAAGATCATAGAAAGGTAAGGTGGTGTATTAGTCAATGAAAATCATTTCCATGCTGACACCTGGTTCAGTTTCATTTCTTACTTCTTAAAGCTTTTTGCAAGTTTGTTGATGAAGAAAAAGATCTCATTATTTCTGCTCTGACAACCTCCCAGGCACAAGCGCTGTATTTCTTCTCTTTCAGATAGAGAGTGATTCTTTGGAAATATTTCCTCACAGTCAGGATGGAGTCCTCATTCATCAGGGGAGTATCTGTCACCCCCACCTCCTGCATCACACAGGCTTCCAATTCATTCAGCTGCTGGTAAAGTTCAGTGTAGAATTTGTCTAGGAGGGTCTCATCCCAAGCAGCAGATGAGTCTTTTGTGCTGAAGAGGTTGAAGGTCTGCTGGATCATCTCATGGAGGACAAAAATGGCTCTAGCCTTCTGGAGCTGGCTGCCATCAAACTCCTCCTGGGGAAATTCAAAGTCATGTCTGTCCTTCAGGCAGGAGAAAGGAGAGATTCTCCTCATTTGTGCCAGAAGCATCAAAGTTCTCCTGTTACCCAGGCTGTGGGTTTGAGGCAGATCACAGCCCATAGAGCAGCTTGACTTGTAGCTGAGCAGCACGAGGGCCACCAGGAAAGGAAAGGTCAAGGCCATTGTAGTTGTTGCAGATGCTGCTATTTTGGTTGAAATAGGTGAACCTAAACCTTAGGCTCCAGGCTCTCTGAAGACCTTGCTTTGTGCATAGCCTTAAATAGGGAACATACTATTTTCTACTTTCCAAATGCCCCATGTTAGTTTCTATTTCTCTTTTTCCTTTCTTTACGCGTTCTTTACATGGGTTTTAAGCCTTTTTTCTCACCACATTTTTTTCATTATTGTTTCCTTCCTCTCTTACCCCAGAGCCTTTTTAGAGACTTTTTTTCTGATTAAATCTCCATTATATTTTAATCACATTTATGCTGTGTATTTATGTATCTTATGTATATCTCTATTCTATGCATTAAATTAAAAAGTATAAAGTCAATATTTTTTATCATTATAAAGAACGATAAAACAATTTAAATTAAAAGGCTATTGACATTTTACTTAACTTGATAACTATATTTTTAGAGCAAGTTTTTTGAAAATATATTTTCATGGGTACATAATGGACATCTGTGTTTATGGAATGTGTGAGATATTTTGATATGGGCAGACAATGCATAATAATCACATTGGGGTGAATGGAGTATCCAATGCCTCAAACATTTATTTATTTCTCTCTGTTACATATATCCCATTTCTACTATTTTGGTTATTTAAAAATATATAATAAATTATCATTAACAGTAGTCATTCTATTGTGCTATCAAATACTAAACCATATTCATTTTTTCTAACTATATTTTTGTGTCCATTAACCATCCCCATTTAACCCCCTTATGATTCAGCAATCCCACTACTGGGTATTTATCCAAAGGAAATGAAATCAGTATGTCAATGAGATATCTATACTCCCATGTTTATTGCAGCACTATTCACAACAGCTATTATTTGGAAGCAATTTAGTTGTCTAACAGGTGACTAGATAAAGCAAATATGGTACTTATCTACATTGGAGTACTGCTTAGCCATAAAAAAGAATGAGATCCTATCATTTGCAACAACATGGATGGAGCTGGAGGACATTATGTTCATTGAACAACATTAAATCCATTGATTTGCACATACTTAAACCACATTTGCATCTCTAGGATAAATTCCAGTTGGTCATGATGAATGATCTTTTTAATGTGTTCTTGCATTCAGTTTGCTAACTTGTTGTTGAGGATTTCTGCATCAATGTTCATCAGAGATAATGGCCTATAGTTTTTTCTCCTTTTTATAAATGTGTCTTTTTCTGGTTTTGGTATCAGAGTAGTATTGGCCTCATAGAATGAATTTGGAAAGATTCTGTCCACTATTTTTAAAAATAATTTGACTTGGATTGGTATTAGTTTTTTAAATATTTGGCAAAATTCAGCAGTGAAGCCATCAGATCCTGGGCTCTTTCCTGGGAGACTTATTATTGCTTCTGTCTCATTACTTATTATTGTTCTGTTCACACTTTCTATTTCTTCACGCTTCAGTGAAGAAATACAAAAACCATGAAGAAATACAAGAAACAATTCTTGTATGTCTTCTAGAACCATTCTTGTATTTCTTTATGGTTTTTGTATTTCTTCATGGAACTGTGAAGAAATACAAAACCTGAACAGACCAATATGTTGTATTTTTTTAGGAATTTATCTATTCTGTTTAGGCTTTCCAATTTATTGGCATATAGTTCCTCGTAGTATCCTCTAATGATCCTTTCCTTTTCTGTGGTGTTGGTTGTGATGTCTCCACTTTCATCTGTGATTGTATTTAGCTGGGACTTCTTTTTTTCTTAGTCTGTGGTAAAAGAAGACATTTAATATTATTTTACTTTTTTTCTGTATTTTAAGATTTGTTTTGTGACCTAGCATTTGGTATATCCTTGAGAATTTATCCATGTGCCGAAGAGAAGAGTGTGTATCTGTAGCTGTTGGATGAAATGTTTTGTAAATATCTATTAGGTACATTTGGTCTATAGTGTAGATGAAATTCAATGTTTGTTAGTTTTCTGTCTGGGTGATCTGTCCAATGCTGAAAGTGCAGTGTTGAAGTCTCCAGTTACTATTGTATTGGGGTCTATCTCTCTTTTTAGCTCTAATAATATTTGCTTTGTATACATACCTGAGTGCTCCAGTGTTGGTAAATGTATATTTACAATTGTTATATGCTCTTGCTGCATGGACCCCTTTATCATTATATAATGACCTTCTTTCTCTCTTTTCATAGTCTTGCAGTCCATTTTGTCTGATCTGAGTGTAGCTTCTGCTTTTTTTTTTTCTTGGTTCCCATAGGCATAGTATGTTTCTTCATCCCTTTGTTTTCAGTCTATTTGTGTCTTTATAGGTGAAGTATATTTCTTGTAGGCAATGGATCATTGCATCTAGGGGTTTTTGTTTTGTTTTGTTTTGCTCTGTCACCCAGGCTGGAGTGCAGTGGCTCAGTCTAGCTCAGCTCACTACAATCTCCACCTCTCAGGTTCAAACTGTTCTTATGACAGCCTATCAAGTTGCTGGGACCATGGGTATGTGCCACCACGTTCAGCTAATTTTTTGTATTTTTAGTAGCGATGGAGTTACACCATGTTGGCCAGGCTGGTCTCAAACTCCTGGACTCAAGTGATCCACCTGCCTTGGTCTCCCAAAGTGCGGGTTATAGACATGAACCACCACACACAGCTGCATGTATTTTTTGTTTGTTTGTTTTTTAAAATACATTAAGCCACTCCGTGTCTTTTGATTGGAGACTTTAGCACATTTACATTCAATGTTATTCTTTATGAGGACTTATTCCTGTCATTTTATTATTTGTTTTCTGATTATTTGATGGTCTTCTCTTCCTTCCTTTCTTCATTTTTGTCTTCCTTTTACTGTAGGTGATTTTCTCTGGTGTGTGTTCTAATTCCTCCTTTTTATTTTGTGTGTGTTTGTAGTATGTTTTAGATTTGAGATTACATTGAGGCTTGCAGATAGTCTTTTAACCCATTATTTTAAACTGATAACACTGATTGCATAAACAAACAAGCAAAAGAAAACAAAATCTCAAACTTCATGTCCCCAGTTTTTAACTTTTTGTTGTTTCTATTTATATCTTACTGTACTGTCGATATCTTAAAAAGTCATTATAGTTATTATTTTTGATTGATTAATCTTTACCTCTTTCTACATAAGACATGAGTAGTTTACACAGCACAGCTGCAGTGTTATAATATTGTGTGTTTTTCTTTGTACTTATTATGACCACTGGCCATGTGCTGCTTTATTGATTTTTTTTTTTTTTACAGTAATTCGCTGATGGTAATTCTCCATTTCCTGGTCTCTCTGCTGAGGGCACTGGTGATGCTTTGCTGTTGCCACTCCTGTTCCTGTGGTTGGAATATGCCTTGGAACCATAACCTGGAAAATAAGGAAATTAAGTGTTTAAGGCATCTGAAAAGGAACTCCTCTAAGTTATGCCAGAATGCCAGCACCCACTTCCAGTTTACTGAGGAAAATAGAGATAACATCAACATCCCAAAGACACAAACCACCTATTTCTGCTATCAGATTTTCTAACATATCTTAACCAGTTTAGCAGAGAAGACTACAGAGCTGCTTGGAGTAAGATCTTCCTGGTTAAGTTCCCCTCTAACTTTGATCACAAAATCAGAAACAACTGGAGCAAAAGGTGAAAACAGAAATTCTTTGAGCTTGCTCTGTTTCTATATTGTTGTCCAAAAATTATTTCAAAGTATTGTTCTCTATATGAAGGATTGGGAAATTGTCAGAAAGAAAATTGAAGTGTTCTTTTCCTTTCATTTAATAATGCCCATAGAAAAAGAAAACAGGAAATGGACAGACTAATAATGAATAATGAAACTGAATCAGTAATAAAAACCTGCCAACCAAAAAAAGCCCTGGACCAGATGGATTCACAGCTCAATTCTATGAGACGTACAAAGAGCTGGTAGCAATTCTACTGAAACTATTCCATAAAATTGAAGAAGGACTCCTCTGTAACTCATTCTATGAAACCAGTATCATCCTGATACCAAAATCTGACAAAGACAAAACAAAACAAAACATTATTTGGCTATTAAAGTAGAAATTATTATAATTGTATAATTCTTCTACCTACTTAGACAAAACAAACCTTTGCTGTCAGCATCTGAGGGCCATTGACACTTATGATACTTGGAGACAGGGGTCAGGAGATGAGGGAGAGCTAGGGTCCTTTACACAAACATTTGGGGGCAGAGGCAAGGTCCCTGGAAGACTGATTATTTTGGCAACAAAGAAGCCTCTCTCTAGTAAACAGAGTTCCAAAGTCTTCAGGATGTGTTGAGCCTCGCCTTAGGGAATGAGTCTGAAAGAGTTTCTGTTGAAGACATTTTGTCACCCTGTAGGGGAGGGGGTTACTGGATTTGATAACTACCTTGGGAGTGAGGTAGTGCTAGGAAAATAAAATTATCTTGGAATTAGAATCTCCACACCTCTATGCACCTAAAAAGAAAAAGGATTCCTCCTGGTGTTATTGGCACAACCTAAGGAATACTTAGACGTTCAGTAAGAAAATGGTGAAAAATAAGGCAATGTCTATATTAATCCTGACCTTATAACCACAGCGAAGCATAGCCACATGGACATGAATGAAGTATTTTAGAAGGAAGGGAGAAGTTCAAGAAGGTTGTTAACTAATAGCCATCAACTTCTGCTGTGAATGAAACAGCAAACAAACCCAGTCCTAAAGAGCTTAATTGCCAGAGATGGTCAGGTAACTCTCTAAACAAATACATAAACTCTTAGAGATGAAGGAGCCTGACTTCCTATGGAAAGTATAGAAGGTAAAAATAGAGCCTTCTATACTTTCATACTTCCTATGGAAAGTATAGAAGGTAAAAATAGGATCAGGGTAAATATATTTTTCTAAAATAGAGAAAAGTAATATTGCTTCATATATGTGGAAAAAAACATATGCTTGTATGTGAATATGTATATATGAACATTTTATACATGCTTCTGACTTTAGGACAAAGATGTTTCTCATTTGATTTTTAAAATATTTATTTGGATTGGCACATCTGAAGTTTACTAGAAAAATTAAACTTCTATTGCAAAATTAATAGT